GTCTCGTACTCCCTCAGCCTCTGCTTCCTTTTCATAATATTTATCCCTCTTGTTTAGTGTCTGCTTCTCCAGCAGCCAGTAAATTCCAAGACAGCAGGCTGGCATCTCTTTTGTTCTGTGCTGTATTCCCGGTGCCTAGAAGAAGTCTGCTACACAGGAGGCACCTGAGAAATATGTATGGAATGGAGAAAGTCAGGAGAGGCCACTCATGTAGCACTCCTGGTTCCAACTGGGTCCAGAACCGGGGCCGTGGGCTGAAAAAGAAGTAGCACCTCAAGCTTCCTCTGCACGCCATGCCCAGCATGCAGGTAGCAGGCACGAGTGAGCGGACCTGCCTCCAGCCTCCACACAGATCTTCCACGTTTCCGGTGGCATGGTATTCTCAGACCATAGAGCTGTGTGTGCAGCACACTATTTCCACACCTCTGGGTTTTGCTCCTCTTTCCTGCACAGATATTTTCTAGGGAGGCCCAGTCCTTCCCTGAGCACAGAGAAGGATCTCTACAGTTCTGTTCTTCTGGCACCTCCTGACTCACAATGCCATAGTGGTGCACGCCTCTGACATATTAATGGAATTTCTGACAGTGGGGATTTGACTGGTACTTTCCTGATAAATGGAGCCAAACAAGTCTTAAGCATTGATGTGGCTGTTACTGCCAACAAGATTAGGTTCTCAGCCTAGTCTCCACCCCATTCCCCTTGCCGGTCCCCAGTATGTGCTTCCAAGCCACTAACTCCGGTCATCAAAAAGGATAGGTACTCCGAGGATACAAATTCAATATATTATTAACTGAAACTAAATATGACTAAAGGAATAATTCTCCCAGGAAAAGCAGCATGTGTCGAATTCCAAAGTAAAATAACACTTTGGATTATCTTCTGCTCTTCTCCCTGGTATGCAAAGCAGGCACTAGGCTTAGCACGCTAGACGCTGTCTCAAGGTCACCAGCAAGTTCTTGTGATTAGAAATGGATGCAGAGGCAGCCAGCAGGTGAGACCCACCAAGTGCCCCAGGTGGGTCTGTGGCTTCTCTACAGCGGAGGATCTTTTCATTCTCATGGACAGACATATACCTATTGGTGGCATGGAAGGACGTACATGGGTGCCAGTGAACCACAGCCTGCCAGGGGGCTGGGAGATGGGTTTTAAGCCCTTAAAGAGCCAATGAACCAGAGCCCTGAAGCAGGCCACTTCTGCCCAGGGCTGTTGGAAAACTCTGCAAGTGTCACCTGAACTGCTGCCCGAAACTCTGGGCCAGGCCCTGCAGCCCTGGAGCCTGGGCTGCTGCCGCCCTCAGCGCCGACTGTGGTGCCTGCTGACCTCAGGGCCTGGAGCCTGGGCTGCTGCCGCCCTCAGCTCCGACTGTGGTGCCTGCTGACCTCAGGGCCTTCGCAGACCCATGGGGCTCCAGTCTGTCATCCAAATGTGCTTCTCAAGAACAGAATTACAATCCAGACAGAATGGCGATTGAAGAAGCGGTTATTAGAATTTCACTGTGGTTTACATTTTCCAAACACATTTTATATTTATTTCATTTCATTCCAAGTTGCCTCCTTTTCAGCAGAAGAAGATACTGGGTCTCATAGTGACTTGCCCAAGGTCACATTTTTAGTAGGCAGCAGTGCTGGGAGTTGACAAAACATGTGTCATGAGGCAGAGTTGTGCAGCGGCTGATGGCTGCCTTTGGAAAAGGGGACAGCAGGGGCCTGGGTCTGGTGACCCGCTTGCTGGGGCCTTCCCCACCCCAGTTTGCTCCAGCTGATTCTAGTCTTACGTGTCAGCTAATGACTGGTACACTCCCTTTGGCACGTCTGTTGTGAGAAATGACCTACTGCCAGCTTTAAAAAGGGTCCTGGGCCCCCTGGAACACTGCCATTCTCTGAAAATGGCATGCTGTCCCCAACCCCCACCACGGAATTCACAGATAGCAGGAAATTCAAGCATGTTCTCTTTCTGTTTCTAGGGCTTAGTGACTGAGATAAGCCAACAAGCAACACAGCTCCCCACCTTTTCTGACGGAGGTTATGTTGCAGAACTGGGCTGAGAACTGTGGCTGGCCCTCAGGACGAAATGGGCAGAGCTGGAGCTGGTTATAAGCAATGGCAGAGGGACCTTATTGCTTCAGATTTGGGCAAGAGCAGGCCCAGCCTAACTAGACACTAGCGATCACTGAGTTCCAGGATGCCTGCTGACTCTGCTATGTTGCTGCTACCTAGTTCAGTGCCTGGAGCCTATTGAGTATCCAATACTGGAATATGTTGTGCCTGAGCCTTTGCTGAATATGGACTAATTGCTTCCAACGGGACGGGGACATTGGAGGCTCTGGACCCGGAGCCCAGCACATCCACTGTGATCAGACATGTACTGAGGGGGTCACCTGTCCTTGGGACATCAGACTTAGGTCGGAAGTCACCAGACAGCAATATAAGGATCTGGATATAATATGCTACAGCCCAGGGGTCTAAAAAAATCTCAGTGCCCCCAGGTAGGGCTGTACTCAGAAACAACATATCCAAAGAGATGCTAGTCAGGACCGCAGGCAGGTAGCGGGGATCCAGGAAAATGTTTTTTCAGGAAGAGGGCTCCAAAAACCGGGCTGGGGCCCTCAGTGTAGTAGGAAGGGGGACTTGCAAGGACAAGACAGAGTCTGCGTACTATGTGAGCCCAAGGAGATCAAGGCAGGGCGCATGGCGGGTGATCAGAGCTGCCACTAGACCAGGGATAGACTCCAGGCCAGGTGAACACGGTACAGAGATGGTTCGGGATGTCTGGCTTAATTTCATGCCACTACTGAGGTCTGGAGTGAGGTAGAACCTGTGGGTGGGATTGCAGGTGTGACATCAAGGGGACAGGAAGGGTCCCGGGAGGGCTTGGCTAAGGCCTGTTTACAGAGGCTTGTGTCTGTCTAGGGCAGATGGCCTCCATGGGGTATTTTTTATGAAACTGAAAGAAACGTGTTGGCATCTCCCAAGGAGCACAAACAGAAGAGGCTGGAGCCTGCAGGTCCTGGGTGCAGGGCAGGAGCTCACCGGTACATTCCCTGGGAGTCAAGCAAGTGCTGGGTCAGCTGCCACTCTGTTACCAGCCACCTGCACCCCACTCTCTTCAGGCAGGTCCCTGCCCTTGGAGTTTGTGGTTTATGAGGGGAGAGAAACTGTGCTTTCAGTGGGCTTCTGAACAAGCACAGAGTGGCCTCTGTACAGACAAGCCCAGATGCAATCACTAAAGAGGCACCACGTTTTGGGAGAAGCGAGTTGGTAATGAAAGGGCAAAGTTCCCCAGAGTGGGAGAAGAGTGACAGGCCAGAAAGTTTCTAAAGGGTTTTGTACAGTCTCAAAAAGGAAAAAGAGGCAAAGAGTCGAGGAAAAAACATGTTTCTTCAGTGAAGTCACCTTTCTAGCATCTCTATTGTCTGTCATCTGAGACCTCATCTCATGCACTGACTTCCATTCAGAGCCTGTTCGAAGCAGAGATTGCTTATTTTCCACTGAATTGGAGGGAAATGACAATTCCCACTGGAGCATTCCCCTGAGCAGGTGGGAGGACGCTGCTGTGAAATTGATCCCTTATGCATTGCAGGCTTCCCTTCTGCAACCCAGGGGCAGGGAGGGGTGATGGTGGGGCAGCCCAGGGGCTACACCACTCCAGAAGGCTAAAGATCGGGATGGGTGTGGGGTAGGTCTCTGGGATTACCCTCTTCTCTGATGGCCAAAGAGGCCCAAAAGGTTGCTGGGCCTTTGCTCATTCTGGTCCTCCCCCAGCTTCCCGCCCCAGCGGCATCCCCAGGTCCTGGGGTGTCAGGGATGCCTGCAGGCCCCAAATGCTTGGAGCTCCCAGAAGGCCAGCATCTTGATCGCTCCACTGGGCTCCTGGCAATGTGGGATTTTGCTGCTTGACCACGGGTGGGATTCTATGCCAGGTGGGATGGGCTCTCTGCCCAAGGCTAGACCAGTTCATTAGGCAGAATCCAGGGGACCCGACTCTCACCGCAATGGAAACCCACTCCTGGGCTCTCCTCAAACGCCCCCTAAGGGAGCCCCCACCCCCATGTCCTCCTTCAGCCTCCTCCCTCCTCTAACACACTTGCTTCTGTCTCCTCTTGTTTCTCTATTTTTCTTGTCGGATACATGTACACAAAAACCATCAAATAATTTTCACTGTTTTTGCCTCTAGATACAAAGAGAGTGTTAGCCTCCAGGCCTGAGACTTGGAAGAATCAGTGCAGGGCAGGGGAGGGCATGTTAAACTGGAACTCGAGATCTTGGCCCAGCTCACCTCAGCTATCAAATGGCTGGAGTAATGGCCTCTATGTGTAACTCCCAAGGCTTCATGGAATTGGCAAGTCCACGGACCTCAGAAGGCTATGGAAGTGCAGAGGCCATTGCTATTGGATTCAGTTATCATTATTCAGGGGCTCTGCCATCACCAGCACACCCCACCCATGCAAAGCCAGACCCCTGGTCTCCCCTGCATCTTCCCCATTCCTGGGTCCCATCAGCTTCACCCATCATTTCTAAATGGCCCCATCTCCTTCCTGCACCTAGAATGTCTCTTCCTAGGGAAGTGACATTGATGAGAATCATGGTCTTGGAAGCTAAAGAATAACCCAAGACCAAACCAAATCAAAACACTCCACCACGCCCTGAAAAGTACACTGTACTTCCGTCCTTCACAGATTCCACTGTTACCATGGCCTGACCAAGGCTAATGGGTCTATCCTGACAGGTCTCCAAGCTAGGCATGGCCTTCCGTCCTGGCACACCCTTGGTTAGTCCTGTCCCCGACCCCAGCTCCATGACCTTCTTCTCACCCTCTGAGTCAGGACCCCTGAGAGTTCATGGGAGAGATGCTCTTAGACCAGCCCTCACTTCCCTGCTGGGGAGCAAATGTGAACCCATGTAAGAGCTGCTGTCCTTGAGTCTCCATCCATGATGGCCTCTCCTCTGGCTTCCCCCCAGCCCTCCCACTTCAGAGCACCAGGAAACCAGCCATCCCACCGCTTTGTTCTCATGTGTGTTTATTGAGCGCCCACGGAGTCCGTGGTACTATGCTCAGGGTTCAGAGCCACAGTCCAGTCAAAAGGAGACCAGAGCTAGTACAGAGAATGTTTCATAGCTGCTTAACATCTGGTAAGGGGTGGGGAAGGGGCGAACTAATCACAAAACAAATTTCTATTCGAAAGCAACAGAATCTCCTCTGAGAGTAATATATATTCTAGGCACACGCGCACGCACGCACACACACGCCCCTCTGAGTGAACACCTAAGTGTACCCACTTGGTTGTATATGCATGCATATACAGGTATTTGTGGGTAAATATGGACTATGCTGCTCACACTCACACATGCACGCACACACACACCACCGCACACACAGATAATCTGGCTTATGCTATCAAAGATGCTATGTCTCCAGGTTCTAGTGGAAGCAATCTGTCTTAGACACCCGCAGCATGCAAAACTCAGAAGACCCGGAGAGTCACAGTTAAGGAAGAGACAGGGAGACGCGAATACGTTTCCACCCTCGGGGCCCAGCCACAACTCGTGAGGTCGCTCTTTGCTGGCAATGCAAAGCCTTCATGAGGGGCTCCCAGGGCAGAGCGGAGGAGCTGGAGGCCTTCTGTCCAGTGGCGGAGCCCACAGGAGCCCTGGGGAGTTCACCAATCTTCAAGGCAGAGTTGAAAACTCTGGTTTTCAAGTGTGTAGTCCTGCAAACGATATTCTTTGGGACGGCACGGCAGATCGAGGTGAGAGTTCCTTTTCTCCTTGCTCTCTGCAGCTTCCCACCTGTGCTAACGCATTTTGTAGTCATTAGATACGGATGTTTCACACAGCTGTCCCTTAAAATCCAAGTCTACTGTGAAATCGAGGTCTCGCTGCAAGGCAAAGAGAAGCGAAGGGTCAGGCAGCCATCTGGGTACGAAGCCACAGCCCCACTCCCCGGCACCGCCTGCTCCTGGCACCACAGGGATGGGTGGCACCAGTGTCTTAAGGCTTTCTGGCTAAAGGGTTCCCCTGAAGAGCGCGCAGGAATCCATTCTGCTGCCCCCTTGTCCTCACAGGAAGTTCTGCCATTTCTCCCTAAATCCTTCCTGCTTGAATTTAAAAAGTTCCCTCTGAGTTCGCCCTGGGAGTAAAGCAATTGTGGTGGTTGAGTGTTTTGTGAGGTGACCCTCAGCGCATTCTGAAGACCCTTTTAGCGCATATGCCCACACCCGGGGCTGCCCAGAAAGAGCCAGCCAGTCTCCCCACCACCAAGCCAGTGGAAGAAATGCAAGCCAAATACCCTGCAGGCCACCAGGAGCTTGTCGCTTGGCCCAGCTCATGCTAAATGAGGGAGGACCCATTGATTCGAAAGCCCCTCATAGGAAGAGCTGGAAGCTGTCTTCAAAGCCGAGAAAATCCAGAATCGGACCCGGGGAAAGCTCTACTTGCTGAGTTTTGAGAGGTCAAGCCTGAGTCCCTCGATTGGCCCTAGTCAGGCCCACATGTGGCTACCGACTGCCTCCCTCAGTAGGTTTCTGACTGTGCAAAAGACACTTAAGAACCCCGGCCACTGGGTCCTAGCAAGCCGGCTCCGTGGGTCCCTTCTGCCCTGCGTCTCTGGTCCCCCTCTGTGACACAGATGGCCTCAGCACTTACCACATTTTTGGCATTTGGCTTCATGGATATGGTCCCGTAGATTTCCTCCCCCCTCCGGACAGTGAGGTAATCTTCCAAGTAGAAGACAGTCTGCTTCCAGTGGGTGTAGGGAGCGTCAGGGGCTGAGGGTGAAAGAACAGGGGAGGTGGGAAGAAAGAGTCAGGGAAGATGTCTCCGAAGGGCTGAGGCTGGGAGCCTGCAAAGAAGTTGCTGGGCTTCCCCGGGAACTCACGGAAACCACCCGCCCCAGCATCTTGTTGGGTCAGGGTTATAGTCCTTGTAGCCTGGCTCTGCACCCCCACCAGAACTCCCACTCAGCCCCAGTGGCCTCTTCTCCCATCATGGCTCCATCCCCTCAGTGCTGATGGCTGATCTTAGCTGGGGATCAGCAGAGGGACAACCTGTTACTACAAGTTCACACCAAGGGATGGATGATGAATGCCCCGTGACCACCTAAATGCATCGATGTAAATGCATCTGAAAATGCTGCTGTTTTTAATTAGTTCAACAGAGGGAAGATCTTCAGACAGTATGGGGAAGAGATCTGTAGAGTAGGCCCTCCTGTTTCCCTTTAATGACATAATTCATGCAAACACCACAGCTAAGCCAGTTTCCCCAGATCCACTGATACTTGCTCCTCAATTTTACAAACAGCTTTCCCTGCTGGGCACACGTAGTGGCTCACAGCTATAATCCCAGCTACTCAGGAGGCTGAGGCAGGAGGATTGCTTGAGCCCAGAAGTTCAAGACCAGCCTGGGCAACATAATGAGAAAACTAGCCAAGTGTGGGAGCACACATCTGTGGTCCCAAATACTCGGGAGGCTGAGGCAGGAGGATCAATTGAGCCTGAGAGTTCAAGGTTGCAGTGAGCTAGGACTATACCACTGCACTCCAGCCTGGGCGTCAGAGTGAGGCTCTTGTCTCAAAAACAAAACAAAAGAAAAAAACAAAAATGCTTTCCTTGCCTGCTTCTCTGTGCAGGGGGAGCGATACCTAGCACCTTGGCTCGGGCCTGCTGTAGGGTTTCAGGTGTGTCTTCCTAACTGAATCAGAAAGAAATGAGCACAGCCCTAATGCTGGCCCACAGCTCACTCATCCTGCATGACTCAAAGCCACAGTAATACTTGCAACTCCCCTGTATCTGTCACTGAGTCTCTTCCCTTCCCTCTCAGCACAGGACACATTCTCCTGCTAAATGTGACAGATCTTGCCTCATAGGCCATCGTCCTTGCCAGCAGCAGTCTCTGAAACTCTCCCCCTCCCTCCTCTCCAGCCTCTGTCTTCCTCATCCTTCCTCTGGAAAGCCTTGCCTGACCCGCGAAACCTGGATTGAGGGCTCCCACGGCACCCTGAGCCTCTGTTATTGCAGTGTCTGTCACACAAGATAAATGCCTTCCCTCCACCCCTACTTGTCTGCGTCCTGTATGGACTGCAAGCTCCATGAGGGCAGGGACCGGGCGAGCCTTGCTTCCTTAGTGCCTGCCTTGGTGCTTGGTAGATCTACAAGTATTGAATAAATGAATAATGATAAGAACCTGAACAAGCGTCTGTGATGCTTCAATGTTCTCGTACATGTCTAATTACACTGGGGGCCTTTGGAATCTACAGATTGTAGATGCACCAATTTTATTATAGGAAGTTCCTTTTGGTTTGGGCTGTTGCATTTGTCTACTAGAATTTCCTCTTTTTTTCTGAACCAATGATAAAAATGAGAAGACTTGGGGATAAGATAAGGGTCTTCAAAAACACTTCAAAAACTTGTCACAGGGAAAGACTTAGATGTGGTCTTATGACTTTGGGGCAGAACAAAGGCAGAGCTAGGAATCATTAGAAGGCAGATTTTTAATTAACCAAGAAGAATTAGAGCCGTCCCACAATCGTATGAGCCACCTGAGGTCCACCCTGGCAGGTGTTCACACAGCACCGACTGGGGTTTATCATGCACTGACTCAGACCGGGTGACCTCTAAGATCTTTCAAAACCCCAAGGTCTATTTTAATGGCACTGAGGAGTCTGTCCTTCTCTGCCCTTCGCAACAAACTGGCTTGATCAAATGTCAGTGGTTTGGAGAGAGGCTCAAGTGGCCCTCCATGCGTGCATTTGGGAAATCAATGCAAACTCAAGGTCACGGGGAGCAAGCGCAGCCTGCATATTTGTAGGGAAAAGAGGATCCTAAATGTTGAATCTGTGCCTTTCAGACTCTGCCTGGGTTACCGAACACACCCAGCCTTCTGGCCTCCAGGGCACACTGCTGTCTGCAGGCAAAGTCCACCTGCTCCCAACAACCTTCTCTGCCAACTACCTCTAAATAGTCAGAAGATAGTACCTGGTTTTGTGTGGAGACTGACAGCACTCTCGCCCCCACTTCTACCCACACCATCTCAGACAGGTGTCTCTCTCCTCTTCCTAAAGACCTCAGGCAAGGGAATTCAAGCAGCCTCCTTCTGTCACCTAATCCGATGCCTTATGAGACCCCCAGAGACTTCCTGGCCCAGATTCGCCAGCCATGGTGGTCTGCCTCTGATGGTAGTCCCCAAGACATGCCAACTTTGAGTTGGAGGAAGATGATTTTTTTCCTTGATGGGTTAAGAACATCCATAAACATTTCATTTCCACGATGGGGCCACTAGCCATGGACTAATTGCCTAAACCAATTTTCCCAATCCTACTTGTCCATCAAAGTGCCCAGGAGAAACTTAGTAAAATTCAATGTTTTGATTCTATTCCAAGAGATTTGAAGTCAGTAATTCTGGGGGATGGGGAGGAGCAGGCAATGGCTGCCTGTGAACACACAGCCATGGCTGAATCGCTGTGCATCTCCTGACCTCTTTAGGCAAGGTAGAGTGGGAAGGACGTTTAATTAACTGACGACAGGCCCAGCGTTCAGTCTCTGCTTTGCCACTGATTTCTGCGGTGACCAGGGGCTCCTTTTCTACATCTGCAGAATATGGGTCACGATATTTATCTCCTGATGTATTGTAAGGATGAAATGAAATGAGAAGGGGAAAGCATCATATACTAAGAGTGACCAAGCCTCCTGTTCTGCCTGGGACAGATCCAGTTTGCATCTGTTTTCCTGGCATGATAATCACCAGCTCTCCCCTTCACCTGCAGACACGTCCTTCATGGAAAGACAAGTTACATGGCCACTCTACCTGAAACATATTAGGCCCTGTTAGGGACTTACTAAGCGATTGTATCTAGCAATTCTTTGATCATTACAGTGTACGTGATTTTATTTGTCTATCAACTATGGCTCTGGCCTGCAAAGGTATTAGTGGTAGAGCATGTCCTGGAAAATATCCAGAATGTCGCCGCGCACACGGGTGGGCACTCAACAAAAGGTTATGGACAACATCTAGAGTTCCCCTTGTCAGGGAGCAAGGTTTTGCCTTCCCCTGCCCCACCCCCATCTGGAAAAACTAGGGATGGCACCCAGGCTTGCTTCTGCTGGGGCTCCTGCCCTTCCACCCACTACCTGGCTTTCCTGGATTCCACAGTAGCCCCAGGGGTCCCAGTTCCCACTTCTACCCCCACCCCATTGAGGATGTGTTGTGGAGGGGCTGCCATGCCCACTGGCTGCCACAGCCTGGAACCCTGGGTGTCTGTGCCTATTTGCGACAGCTTCTTCTGCCTGGAGCTGCAGGGACGTCAGAGCCATTAGAAGGGATCACTTTTCAGGCTGTGTGGTAGGGGATGTGCTTCTAAGTGGCCCGCAGAGCAGGGCTACCACTGGGCTGAGACAGAAAACTCAGCTGGGGGTTGATAAGGAGGGGCCACACACAGCAGGCTACACTTTGCGTCAAGTCCAAAAACAGCTGAGACCAAACAATACCTTGGTTAGGCACAAGTATCCATGTGATAAAACTTTTCAGAAATAGCAAGGGGATAAGGATCACAAAATTCGGGGTAATGTTCGTCTAGAGGTGATTCGGGAGGTGGGATGGGGTGAGGCATCCAGGAAGATGCAGGGGTGTTGGTGGCATTTCAGTCATTGAGTCAGGGTATGGCTGGAATTAATAAGTGCAAGCAAATCAATGCAAATATGCATTCATTTATTTACACTTAATTATAATCATATTACAGTTATTACCATTGTCTTTCTAGTCAATATTTATATTTAAATGAACAACAATTTATATTTATTTCAAACATTAATGTAGTACCTTCTAATAGTAATACTAACAAATTTATTTACTAGTATTTATTGATTTTTATTAGATTTATTATTTTATTCTAGTTACTATTTACATTCTAATTAATAGAAATTAATTTATATTCTAGTTACTGAGTTACATGGTGAGTTCATGGATATTCATTGTGTTAACATATTAATATATAAGTTAGCAAAAAGTGAACCATACATGGTCCAATAATGACATATGTCATGAGCCAAGAATTAGGATTAATCTAAGTCTGTGGATCTGAGATCCATTAAAACAGAAAGGGTTACTCTGTCAGCTGTCAGAGTAAACCCCACTGCTAACCCACATGAACTGAGGAAGGAGTTTTCTACCTGCTGGAAACAGAGCCCCATGCTGACATACGAAGGTGGCTGAGAAAGCAACTCAACAAATTATTCCCCCACCCCTAGTGCTAGCCGTATGGACATGTGCCAAGAAAAGGGATTTAAGTCAGCCAGAAAGCAGAATCTTCGTGAGGCCTGAGGGTATGCCTGAGTGAGGAGATGGAGTAGCCTTTCCAGAAGAAAGTCAACATGGGTCAAATTCTCAGCCTTCTGGTTCGGGGCAGTCTTGCACAGATGCAGTGGTTCTCAAGCTGGATCATGCATTGCAATCAGTTGAAGGCCTTGTTATGACACAGACTGCTGGTCTCCACCCCCAGAGTTTCTGATTCAGTAGGTCCGAGGTGAGGCCCAATAATTTGCAGTTCTAACAATTTCCCAGGTGATACTGACGTTACCTGTCCAGGGACCACACTTTGAAAACCACTCTTTAAAGAAGTTTTGCATGGCAAACTGGAGTCTGTGGGACCCCAAAATGTCTTTCAGAACCTAGGTTTGTGGAATTCTGTGCAAAAGGGAGGAGGTATAACACTGTAATTGCAAAAAGACAGAGGAGCAGGCTCACAGCTGGGTTTAGATCCATGATCTTTGAACCACGTGGGACTGCAGTGGGGGTGTGACCAAAGACTAGGGAGGAAAGCCACCAGGGTTAGAGCCTTCAGCACTCAGGAAAAATCCTCACCATCTTTCAGGCAGCCCAGAGCTGATGTCTTGATTATGGACATGAGCTTAACCCAGGCTCCTCTACATGGGGCCATGAAGAATGCCATCCCTGCCACCACAGAACCAGGGAGCCAACTCTAGAGAGTGTCCAGAAGGCTGTCTGCTTGACCTTGGGGACTAGAAATATTAACAGATCATCTCAAGGAAAATAAAACCCTGGCTGAGAGCTGCAGGGATGGAGCCTGGGCTTTGGAAACTTAGAATATTTTTTTCAGAGTATCCTTGTCCACTGACTTTCTCATCACCTACAGCAGGGCAGGCCCTGGGGATGGAGTAGGCAGAGCCAGCTCCTGTGACTTCATCTCTAGCTTCCAATCACAGCCACTGTCCCCAAGAAGGCTCCTCCCCAGCTCCCTCACTACCCCCACTCTCACTATCGCTAGGCACAATCTTCCCAATCCTTCAAGATCAAAGTAAAACCTGCCTTCCCCCTCCTGGCTGCTCCTGCCCACTGGGAAGAATTGCACTGGCCCTGTGAGGAGGGCAGCAGCTGACGATTTCACCCAGGGCAGGAAAGCACCAGCACTGCCTGGCTGACAGAGACCAGAAGACTCCCTCTGAGTACTCAGGAGGCACTGGGTCTGGGAGAAGCCTTTCTGTGAAGAGATTAGTTTTTTGCCCTCTCTTTCCATAGGTAAAAGAGAATCACTGAGACCAGCCTGGGCAATGAAGCAAGACCCCATCTGTACAAAATGTTAAAAATTAGCCAGGCCTGGTGGTATGTGCCTGTAGTCCCAGCTAGATGGGCGGCTGAGGCAGGAGGATTGCTTGAGCCCAGGCTCAAGGCTGCAGCAAGCTATGATTGCGCCACTGCACTCCAGCCTGGGAGACAGAGTGAGACCTTGTCTCTGAGAAAAAAATAAAAGCATCACTGTCATCATGGCTTCTGGAAGCAAAGAATCATGTCCTCGACTTCTGGTAGAACTCACCCCCTCACTCCCCCTACTAGACACACAATTACTCACCTACTCACCCTCGATGCCATGCTCCCAATTCCCAAGAAGACTCAATAGGAACACACTCCCGAGGGCGGGGGTCATATCATAATACACTTCTTCAAGAGCAATCTGTTTAGAACTGTGCTTTAGAAGCCAGGAATGCAGAGATCACTGAGAAGTAATTCCCTACTCATGCAGGAGACTGACGGTTGCAGGACAGAGTGAGAATGCTGAATAAGTAATGGCATGGCCTGTGTGGTTGTTTAAAAAAAGAAACTAGGTATCTCTGTGAGGCTATGAGAGTATCACCAAGATAAGCTTGTTAAATAGAGAAAAGGTAGCCAAGGGCAGAGTGGAGGGCAGGACCAAACTATGTTTTATAAAAAGGTGCAGTTTTGACATTGTACAATACTTACATAAGACCCCTCAATGGGGCAGCAGGGAAAAGGGTTCGCACAACTCTGTGTACTATTTTTACAACTTCCTGTGAGTCTATAATTATTTCAAAATAAAAAGCCAGAAACAGAGGTGTCTGTGGATAGGTATGTGCTTGTGTACCCACTGAAATTTGGGAGAATGATACAAGAGAAGTCATTAATAACAGTATTTGCCTCTGAAGAGCGGAGGTGGAATGGGTCTGGGGTGTGAATGTTTTGTTTGACTCTTTGTCCTTGTCATGTGTATCACTTGAAATGTCACCATGACAGACACATGCATGGGATATTAGGGAGCCCTGAGGACACCAAACCTTAACCCAAAGGGAAGGCGGGGATCAGGTAACCCCTGGGCTGAGACAGGAAACCAGGTGAAGAGATGGGGCAGGGGCAGTATCACCACCTGAATTGTGCGACCCTCCCTCCGTCAAATTCATGTTGAAGTCCTAATCCCCAGGACCTGAGAATGTGACTGTTATCTGGAGAAAGGACTTTAAAAGAGGTGATTAATTTCATCCAATCTGACTGGTGTCCTTAAAAGAGGCAATTAAGACACGCATAGGGCCATCAAGGGCTCATGAGCACAGAGGAAAGACCATGTGAGGACACGGCGACAAGGTGGCCATCTACAAGGCAAGAGGAGCTCCTCACCAGAAAGCCACCCTGCTGACACCTTGCCCTTGGACTTCTAGCCTCCAGAACTGCATGTGTGGTTTAGCCCCCAAGCCAGGGTACTCTGTTATGGCCACCCTCGCAGACTGAGGCAGGAGGAGAGAGGATGATGAGAGCCTCTGACAAAGGCCCCTCCCGCCTCCAGGGCACACCTGAATGGGCAAGGGCTGGTGTGTGCAGAAGCCACAGCCCAGAGAACGAAGAGGCCTCACTGAGTTTAGAAGTCAGCAAGGAGCTCAGTGTAGCTGGGCCATCCGTAGGGTAGCAGCGACAGGACCCAGCTCGGCCAAGGACAGTGGTGAGGAATGAGCCTGGAGAGTGGGCCTGGCCCAGGCCATGGGAATCCCCATTTGCCGGGTTAATCTACTGCAGACAGTGAGGCACCTCGGAAGCAGGGCTGGGATTTGGGAGTGGAGTGATCTTGGGGGAACACCATCAGGGATTTAATGAAGGATAGGTTGGTGTGAAAGTAAGGGAGAAGGGAAGGAGACCAGTGTGCAGGCTGCTGTGAGATAGGCTGTGTCCTGCACAGAGGCATGGCAGTGCAGACAAGGCTTCTTCAACTCCATCCATAATCCCTCTGCCCCCCCCCCAACACACACAGAATGTGCTCAGAAAATGCTACTGAACAAATACACACTTGAAGGGTCTCGGGGCCCCTCCATGAGCCCTACCTCCTGCCTCGCCCTCATCCAACACACTCTCAACTTGGGCTGTAACAACCACAGCATTATTTACCTTCCCCTTGGACAGCACACATGTAGGGATGCACGGTTCCTCCATGACTGGGGAGGGCTGATGAGTGTCATCCAGCTAACACCCAGCCCCTTCTCCCCAAGTCAAGGCCAGCCCTAGTCACCCCACAAAGACTTGGAAGAGCATGGGAGAGGGAGGAGGCTCTGGGAAGCAGTAAACAGCTCACCTGTGGAAAACCCCATTTTCTTGTGGCACTTGGTAAATTCAATATTAAAATAGGTGACCAGGGCGTGGACGTAGTCATTGCGCTGTATCTGCAGGCAGAATGCAGATGTGAACGATAGCTCTTCCGTCTTCACTGTGTAAATGTCCACCTCCTGCAGCCCAGAGAAGAGAGAATGCCGGGAACTTATTGCCTCCACCAGGTCTGGGTCCCGGTCAGCAGCCTTGTTCTACAAGAGACCTACAAGAGAGTCTGCCGGCTCTCTAAGGGATATCATCATTCTTGCGGTGATTTCCCAGGCTCCCCACCTCCCTCCAATCACCTCCTCCATCCTTTCAAGGGTGGGGTATGCTCAAGCAATGGTGCAAATGGATTGGAATTAAAACCTGAGGGGAGCAGAATTCCAAAGGTAAATCTGCTGGGATTTGGGGCTGTAGGGGGATGATGGGGAAGGGAGAGAACAGGAGGGTTAATCAGATAATGCGTCCCTTCACCTGTCAGAGCAGCCTTGAGTGGTCCACCCAGGCATTGCTTCATCCATCGCTCTTAAAATGTGTTCCCTGAAAGATCAGCATCAATAGTACCTGGGGGCAAATTCTGAGGGGAGCTGGCCTGCTGCATCAAAAGAGCAATCTGTGTTTTATCAGGCCCTCCAGTGATATGGATGGACCAGACCACTCCTTCCCCAATTTTTTGATACTCAGGTTCCCAGCAATAGGAGGCATCAATCATGACATTATGAGTAAGGACCTAAGCCCACAAGTCACAGACTGAGCTTAGGAAAGTTCTGCTGGCCATTTATAACAAGGCTGGACCGTTTTCAAAAATAAATAAAAGGGGGAAATAAGAAGTGAGAATTTTCAGTTCTGCCTGGGGAATGTGGAACATGAAGAACTAATAACGCTAACAATTTCAACTGGAAAGTGGCTGCAAATCAATCTTGCATGGGGAGCAGCTGGCATTGAAAGAGGTCCGCACTGTGCTGTTCTTTTCTATGTGAAGAAGGCTGGCCTGCTGCTTGCTGGCCCTGGGAAGCAGGGCAAACCTACCAGAGCCCAAGAGGCATCCTGACAGATTCTAGTGAGGCCCAGGGAAGAACTTCCCATTGGTCAAGTTTGCGTGGCAAAGACCTCTGTCCTGAAAACTCTGTAAGAACTAGAAGGCCATCTGTGTGCCTGGATGGTTCCACAGGGACCTCCTGAGGCCCAGAAGATGGAATTGTTAGCAGGAATCAGGAGAAGGGCCGGAAGGTAAGAGAACAAGACCAGCAAAGCGATGAAGTGACACTGTGGAAATGGCTTTTGTCTCAATGTATTTCTAGGATAAACAAAGGAAAAACAGATACAAAGTGTCTCGGGCCCTTCACAGAGAAGTCCTGACTCCCGAGGTGGAGGGAGGAACAAGTGGTCGAGGGAACCAATCATATCAGAGTCCCTCTGCGATCTGTGCTATGCAGCCATGACATCTTCCGTGGAAGCAGAAGCTCTCTGACTGTTGATGGGGAGAAGGTGAGGTTGCAGGTTTAGGGGAATGTGGGAGGCCCTTGGTGAGGTCACATTCAAATGCCAGTTATGCTGTGTTTTTAGAGCCCAAAGATGGGAAACAAGAACGAATTGAATCACGAGCACCTGGTCAAGCACACAGAATTTGATGGGATTATAAAGCCCATCGTCTTAAGCTGAGCCTTTTATCCAGGCGAGATCCTACTCTCTAGTGGCCATGTAGTGCTTGCTGATCATCCATCAAGAGCTTGCTGAACACTCATCTAGTGCTTGCTGATCATCCATCTAGTGCTTGCTGATCATCCATCTAGTGCTTGCTGAACAGTCATCTAGTGCTTGCTGATCATCCATCTACTGCTTGCTGAACACCCATCTAGTGCTTGCTGATCACCCATCTAGTGCTTGCTGAACAGTCATCTAGTGCTTGCTGAACACTCATCTAGTGCTTGCTGATCATCTATCTAGTGCTTGGAACACTCATCTAGTGCTTGCTGATCATCTATCTAGTGCTTGCTGAACACTCATCTAGTGCTTGCTGAACACCCATCTAGTGCTTGCTGAACACCCATCTAGTGCTTGCTGATCACCCATCTAGTGCTTGCTGATCACCCATCTAGTGCTTGCTGATCACCCATCTAGTGCTTGCTGATCACCCATCTAGTGCTTGCTGAACACTCATCTAGTGCTTGCTGAACACCCATCTAGTGCTTGCTGAACACCCATCTAGTGCTTGCTGATCATCCATCTAGTGCTTGCTGATCATCCATCTAGTGCTTGCTGATCATCCATCTACTGCTTGCTGATCATCCATCTAGTGCTTGCTGATCACCCATCTAGTGCTTGCTGAACACTCATCTAGTGCTTGCTGAACACTCATCTAGTGCTTGCTGATCACCCATCTAGTGCTTGCTGATCATCCATCTACTGCTTGCTGATCATCCATCTAGTGCTTGCTGATCACCCATCTAGTGCTTGCTGAACACCCATCTAGTGTTTGCTGAACACCCATCTAGTGCTTGCTGAACACCCATCTAGTGCTTGCTGATCACCCATCTAGTGCTTGCTGATCACCTTTAGGGATGGAGAATTCACTATCTGCCAGGAAGCTCAATCCATGTCCTGGCATCTCCATTCATTAGCTCCTTCTTCAAAACTAATGAAGAAAGTCCACACTCGTCCTTCTGTAACTTCCACCCACAGAAGAAGCCTAACATCTCTTCCAACTCACACAGGTCTGTTAAACCTTTTCTTCTCCAATATAAGCTGTCTCTGGCTTTCTATTCATTCCTCATAAGTCATGATGTCTGACCCCCTCATCACCCTGGCCTTTCCCCTCTGGGTGGGTCCTGCCACTTGCAAAACTGAGTGTTACACTGACCTCATCAGGTCCTCCACTTCCCTCCCTTGGCACATACTTCTAGCAGCTTGTGTTCCCAAAGAGCACACTGCTGGCTCAGCCTGCATTTAGGTCTGCCCACCCCTGTCTCTACCACATCCCTCAAGGCTAGGGGTCCTTCATTACACGTCACCTGTTAGTGCAGGCCGTTGCTCAAATCTAGGAAACAGTTTTAGACTGAGTATCTGTCAGCCTTCATAATGTTCATTATCCTTCCCAGCCAACAGCCATATGGTGTCCACAGGTTTCCTCCAGCTCAAAAATTCTTAGGACAAGGCTGGTTTCCCATATTTTTGTTAATGGCATCACAGTGTCCACCCTCACTGACTTTTCCACCAAGTCAGGGCTGATCAGCCAGGCTCCAGGCCCTTTCCAAGGTCCCTGGTATCTTTTTTTCTTGGTTCCCTCTGTCACCTGTGTAGCACCTTCTGATCTCACTTCTGGCTCATCTCAGCGGACTCACCACCTTTTACCTTTGCCCTGGCCGGTACACTGGAGCCCTTCCGTGGCAGAAGCGACACCTCATTGGCCTGTGTATCCTCAGTGCCCAGCAGCACCTCATCCACAGCAATGTGTGTTGATTCATCAATCATCTTCTCAGAACAGGTCTCCCTGCTTGAAGACTTACTCCTTTGCCCAGGCCCCTCTTTCATAATAACTAAGGTTCATCCAGGCTGTGTTACTCTCTGGACCTATAACCTTCAATGACTCCCTATGACTTACATTGTAGATGTGGTTACTTTCTCCTGTCACTCCCCTTGCTTCTTCACCACTTTCAGCACACACACACACACACACACACACACACACACACCCCTCACCCCATCTAGCAGGAATTCCACCTCTAAACCTCTAAAGGATCTTGCTCTCAGATGTCCATCAACCGAATGTCAGCTATCAACTCTTGTAGCTGACAGTGTTCAATGGATCTCTCAGACATTTGCATCTTAATAGAGGCCTCTGATGGAACAAGAGCCTTCAAGACCAAAAGTATTGAAGCCACTTATTATAATGGCAACAATAGAGGCAGGTGGTCTTTTGGAGTCAGGGGTCCAGGCCATCTGTGAGGATGCGATTGGCTGTAGCTAGGCTTCAAAGACACAAAATCCTCTGGGCTCAAGTCCCCCAACCCCCAGCCAAAGTCTACAGACCAGCCAAGTCTACAGATTAGCCTCAGCTACCCTGACTCCCCAGAGCCCAGCCCTCTTGACTAGTAGTCTTCCTCTTTTCTGCAGCAGAAACAGCAGCTCTGAGACCTCAGGGAGACCCACTGACTTGGCCTCAGGTGACCAGCTTGAAGCAGAGGGCTCCGCCAACATCAATTACTCAGAAGTGCCCCTGGCCGCTGCGATCCCCACCACTAAATAATGTAACAAATGGATGTCTCTGAGCAGAAGTCTGGTCAAAATAGAGTCTTAATTATAATAAAGTGTCACACTCTGTGATGTTAATAGCAATGAAAATAGCAATTAAGTGTGTGAAGAAGGGCAAGTGTTTTCCCAACAGGCTCTGTAAGACGTTGCTTAGCACATTAGCAGGAAAGAGCTGGTGGAAGGGCTCTCCTGGAAGCAGAAGCAAACACAGACAATCGTCATCCTTCTCAGGAAGACGGAGGAAGAAAGGGGCCAGCATGGGGCAGGAAACCATCACAGATAGTGAATCCTGAGACACAGCCCCCAGCGCCCCGGGAGTTTTCATAAGGATTGTGCGGAACACACACCCCTCCAGCTTTTCCTTGGCTGCGTTTCCTCTCGATACGCTCAGGTCTAACCAGGTGAAAGGCCCCTGCTCATTTTTGCTTGGGGAGTGGAGAGAGCCAGGCCGGTCCCTGATGTATCCAGCAGTGCAAACAGAAGAGCAGTGGCCACACATCCAAGCAGGGGCTGGGGCAGGGGCAGAAAGCCATCTGGGGTCTCAGAACATCGAAAGAATTTTATCCCCAAGCTGAGTGCATTACATGCAGAGGCCTAATGGTACGTATCACTGCCACATGTCATTTTGGCAATTCAGTGGCACCAGTAGACGTCTGTCTATTCTATGTTTACAGAAGTGCCTTGCACTATGGCTGAGCTTCTTGCTGGGGGCATACTTTCCTTGTTCTTGTTTGGGGTGCCAAGGAGGAAGAGGCTTGAGGGACAGAGGACAGAGGAATTGGTAGGAAGAAACAAAAGGACACATTTGTTCACAATGAATCCTACCTGGACCCAGAAAAGGCTGAATGAAGTAGTGAGGCCCCTGTGAATGGAGAGTCTTAGGCTTAGATTCAAAGCCACACCTCTCAGGCAGGATGGTACTGAAGAGAGCGGCATCTGATGGATCTGATGAGGTTCATTCTAATTTTTTTTGCCCTGTGAGGTCCCTTCTAAAGGCCACAGTGATACTCCATCCCAACGGGTGCGGTTCTTCCTAGCAAGGCTCGTGTCCAGGGACAAAGGACAGTTCTCTTGTGGGCAGAGCAGCAGTTGTATCAGTCTTTCCAAAACTCCCCCTGATTTTTGGTAGCCCCAAACTCCTCTCCCTTCATCCTGCTATAAATATTCCAGTCGCCTGGCTTGATATTTTCAGGAAAAGAATGATGCCTGCAGGAGCATAGTAGGCCAGTGTATTCGCAAGATGAGAGTCAAGTGGGCTGATTTCTAAATTTAAAAATTAGCCTGGACCGGGTGTGGTGGCATATGCCTGTCATCCCAGCCCTTGGGAAGCCAAGCGGGTGGATCACTTGAGCCTAGGAGTTTGAGACCAACCTGGCCAAACCCCATCACTACCAAAAAAAAAAAAAATTAGCCATGCCTGGTGGCATGCAGCTGTAGTTCCAGCTACTCGGGAGGCTAAGGTAGGAGGATCACCCAAGCCTCATTAGGCTGCAGTGAACCATGATCACACCACTGCACTTCAACCTGGGTGACAGAGAGAGACCCTGTCTCAAAACAACAACAAAAACAACAACAGCAAATAGCTTGAGCTACATGAAACTGCTCATTCAGTCGAGGCTGCAGTGAGCTGTGATTGTACCACTGCACTCCAGTCTGGAAGATAAAGTGAGATCCTGTCTCCAAAAAAAAAAATTGGCTTGAACCGTGTGAAACTGATGTCTGTCTTTATTTTAAGAAACAGTCAAATATCTATAGTTTTATATTGTTCAACATAATATACTAGTATATAAAATGCAAATGCATACGAAAAGAAGAGGCAACCCAGCCTCTGAACAGTGCTGAACTCTGGAGGAGGATGAGACTGGAGGGAGGCAGGGGGCATCTTTCACCTTTACTCTGTCTAACTGGACGTGTTTGAATTTTTAATAATAAGAATGTACTAGGGATTGGTGAGGCAAAGATGCCGGCCACTGTTCTTCATCTGCACTTCGTAAGGAAGCCTTGGGAAAAGGTGTTTAAAGCTGCAGTGTCTAGTTTTTGGCTACCCTGGATCACATTGGAAGAAAAAGAATTGCCTGGGCCACACATAAACTACACTAATGATAGCAAAGAGCTAAAAAATTACAAAAATGGCTCATAATGTTTTAGGGTTACGAATTTGCATTGGGTTGCATTCAAAGACATCCTGGACCGAATGTGGCCCAGAGGATGCAGATTGGACAAGCTTGGTTTAGAGCAGGTACAAACAAGGATGCTCAGGAAGGGGCAGCTGGAAGCTTTATCGGGCAGGCTGCCAGGGTGGAGGTGTGCTTGGAGGCCGGAGCATGATGATGATGACACAGCATATTGAGGTCCTGGATTGCTTTCCTAAGAGAGATGTCTACCTCTGAATGGACCAGCAGCCCCAAACCTGAGCATGCTCCCCTCCTCTAGGTGTCCTCTCCTCCGCTACCTTTCCCCTCTCTGCACCCCCACCCTCCCACACACCACCAGGGCCCCTGTGCTGCCCCTCCCTCATCTGTGCCACCATGGACCCACTCTCTCAGTGGCTGTGTCCAGGCAGACTGCCAGTGTTTGACTTGTGCTTATGCGGCACCGCAGGCTCTGGCCAAGGCGGCCTTGCCTCACCAGGTGGGGCTGTGCAGGAGCTGGTGCTGCCTGGACTCCAGAGTGGCACAGTGAGGCTCCCAGCACACCCAGCTCTGCCCCGGATGAGTGTCCAGACCTTTATTAAACAGGCATTGGTCACCACTTGCTTTGGATCCACGATGTCCACTAGAGGCTCCTTCATGGCCACGTCCCGGATGCAGGTCATGTCAAAGCCATAGACATTCTCCCACCCTGTGGGAGCAGAGCAAGACGTGAAGGCAGTCGGAGGACCCCCAGAAGCTCACCTGACCCTCCTGAGTCCTAGAGCGCAGAGTGCCTGAGGGCTGAGTGGCAGCTGGCATTCTCTGAATGGAAATAGAGGCAAAACTGCTCAACTGGGAGCACTTTGCAATGTGCCAAATGCTCACTCCCATTTCCGATTTCTACCACTGGAAAAGGTAAGTCCCACTTTGTTCTTAGGTAAACTTGAGCTCAGAGAGGCTGGGACACTGCTCCAAGCTCCCACAGCTACAGTGCAGCAAGGTAAAGGCTAGAACGCAGGGTAGCTGGGTCTTCCTTCCCGACCCCTCCCCAACCCAGCAGCATCTCTTATGAACTCCCTTATCTGCCTTCTATGTTCCTATTCTTATGCTGGCTGAAGCTGTTCTCCACACCTAGAAGATCCATCTCTCTCCCTTTTCCTGTCCCCATCCACTGAAGGTTTAATGCCGCACAGAGAGTAATGGGCTTTTGAAGTGAAATCGACTACAGTTTAAATCCCAGCACCAGCACTTACTGGTCAGCCTTTGTACAAATGACCTAACCTCTCTGGACCTCAGTTTTCTCACCTGCATGGGTCCAGGAGCATCTCTGCCTTCCTTGTATGCAAAGATGCTCTCACTAAGGATCTAGTCATTAGAAATTATCCCCAAGTGGACCACAAACCCTCTCAACCATGCTCCTTGTCCTCTTTGGGCTACTCATAAGATACTTTATTTGGGAGGAAGAAAGATTGAAGTGTTGGTGAGAAATTAGTTCAAGTCTGATGGTTACACAGCATATTGAGTAACCAATTCAAGCACCTTAATATGGTAATATGGTAATAATTGCTATCGCTTTTTTTCTTGAGATGGAGTCGTACTCCATTGCCCAGGCTGGAGTGCAGTGGCCCAATCTCAGCTCACTGCAACCTCCGCCTCCTGGGTTCAAGCAATTTTCCTGCCTCAGCCTCCCAAGTAGCTGGAACTACAGGTGCTTGCCACCATGCCCGGCTAAGTTTTGTATTTTTAATAGAGACAGGGTTTCACAATGTTGGCCAGGCTGGTCTCGAACTCCTGACCTCAGGTGATCCGCCCGTCTTGGCCTCCCAAAGTGCTGGGATTACAGTCATGAGTCACCATGCCCTGCCGATAATTGCTATCATTGATTGATCATTCAGTCCAGGCCAGACTCTTCATTTAATCTACCCAGCAGCCCCATTTTATGCTACAGACGAGAAAACCGTGGCTGGGAGAAGTTGGCATCTGGCTCACACATAATAACTGGCCCGTGATCACACATCAGCGAAACAGTGGGACAAAGGCTGAAGCCAAGCCTGTCCCCAAATCCTTCACCTGCCATGACCCAGCTGTGACAGCAGCCAGGAATGCAAGTTTTCTCTCCCTGCCGTGCAGAGAGGATGACCTTAGCAGACTCTAGTTTCTGGGCACCTGAATCTCATTCATCTATTTTTTCAGATGGGTTTCAAATGCGTTGAAGTAGAAATGCATTTCTCTAAAATCTTACAGGATTAAATTTTATTTTAAAACATTCAGCAAACAAATGAGACCTTAGGGAATGTATGTCCCCGTGTGTGTTTCGGAGAGTGGGCGTGTGCGGCAGGAGGTGTGAATGGTCAGCGACAGCTTTGCTCCTTTGACTCTGTTTCCTTTCTAAGGCCCACAGAGAGCTTCTTTCTTGGGAAAAGAAGGCAGAGAAAGTAATCCCAGAGGATGAGTGCTTATGAAATTCTGGTTTGAGGATATGACACCCATCGTATCCCATTAAACCACCTAGGCTCCCAATTAAAACCTACTCTGTAGGGAGGAGGCTGCTTAGCCCACAGCAGGGCAGGTTTCAGAGAAGACTCCCCTCTAGAATGTGGAAACAGCTATCCAGCCTCTCCCCGGATAAAACATACACACTAAAACACGTTGCCTTCTGGGTCTTCCTCAAGAGACTTGCAGCTGTGCTCCTGCTCTTTCCTCCCTGGACCCTGCCTGGAGTTCTAGTTCGCTGCTAGTGCTGGACAAAAGCTTGAGAGTCAATGTGTGTAGTGGTTAAACGCCTAGGCTTTGGAGTTTAAATCTGAGCTCCGCCACTTATTTGCTGGGTACTCTGAAGCAAGAATGTAACCTTTCTGAGCCTTGGTTTCTGAGGATTTTTTAAAATGGAAATGATGATAATGACGGTGATCCCACAAGATTGTTATGAGGATTACATGTGATAATATACGTAAAGTGCATTAGACAGTGCCTGGCACACAGAAAGCTCTTGATACATAACAGTGTTATCATTATGTGGTTTGAGTTCTGGCTTTGCAGCCACGCAAGCTGGGTGGCCATGTACAAATCAATCCTTTTCTCTGGGCTTACTTTTAAAAAAGGATTTTGGTTCAGTGGTTCTGAGTTCTAGAATCACTTGGAACCGTTTTTAAAATGCAGACTCCTGGGCCCACAGCAGACCTACTGAATCAGAATCTCCAGATCTGAGATCTAGGGAGCTGGAGTTTTACAAATCTATACAGACAATTTCAACCAGTTTGGAAACCTTTGGGGTACATGCTATTTAGTGTCTTCAAATCCCAAAGTGGTGATCTTTATGTCTCACGGCCTTTGTGACGCCTTCTCTAAACACCCCTGACCACACCGCCTCTCCTGCATCCTCAGCACCCATAGTACAGCATTTGGCAGCAAACAGGCCCATAGTTAATGCTTCTTGAATTGAGATTCATTCCCAAACATTTAATGCCTGCACTGTTCTGCAATACCTGATGTTGTAGTTACCTTTATATGGGTTAATTCAGGTCTTATTTCCTCAGCTGGGCTGCCCCACCTTCGATCATTCAGAGCACAGATCACCGAAGGCTTTAGATTTTTCCTCCTCTCTGCTGGCCATTTATTTCCTACTAATCCTTTTTACCAGAAGTGGAGCAGAGATGGAGGAGGATAGAAATCAATCATATTAATTATTTGTTGCTAATTAATAAAATTATTTGTATATTGTTTGCTAAATGAGTGTATGCGGGATAAGAGCTATTGGTCACCACAAAATATGATTATTGGCCGGGCGCGGTGGCTCACGCCTGTAATCCCAGCACTTTGGGAGGCCGAGGCGGGTGGATCACGAGGTCAAGAGATTGAGACCATCCTGGTCAACAAGGTGAAACCCCATCTCTACTAAAAATACAAAAAATTAGCTGGGCATGGTGGCACGTGCCTGTCATCCCAGCTACTCAGGAGGCTGAGGCAGGAGAATTGCCTGAACCCAGGAGGCGGAGGTTGCGGCGAGCCGAGATCGCGCCATTGCACTCCAGCCTGGGTAACAAGAGTGAAACTCCGTCTCAAAAAAAAAAAAATTATTATTATCTAGAAATCAGAGAGGCCTGTGAGGCTTTTGTTAGTGGATGAAAACAGACTCCTGAAAAGGACTGTGCTATGGCATGTCTAATTAAAGTAACGACAAAGCCCAAACCTACTGTTACTACAGACTAGACTGACTCACACCCTCATTCTAATAGCCCGGCAGAGCCAACGCTGTTTTCTGGGCATAGATGTGATTCACCTGTCTCTACTGGTCCTTTAAGTGCAATGTCCAGCATTAATGAAAAATTATAAGACACATGAAAAAAGGAAAAAATGTGACCTATCATCATAAGAACAAAAGTCATAGAACCAAACTTAGAGATGCTCAGATGTTAGAATTATCCAACAAGACTTTAGAGTATCTGTACTAAGTATGTTAAAGAAGCTAGTGGAAAAGGTGGACAACGTGCATGAATGAATGAAGAGTTTCATTGGTAAGACAGAAACTTTTTGAAAAAGCCAATGGAAATGCTGGAAATTAAAATAATGATATAAGAAAAGAAGATTTTTAAAAATTAACTTGTTAACAGAATGAATATTTCAGGAAATAATAAAGTTGAAAATAGGGCAATAAAAATGATCCAAACTTAAACACAAAGAGAAAAAAATAGAGGATCCAAGCTCCTTGGGACAATAGCAAACAATATCTCATATAAAGGGAGCTCCTGAAGAAGGGGAGAAAGAGAATCAGGCAGAAAAAAAAATTCATATTTTTCTAAACTAATGAAACAATCAATCACAGATCCAAGAATTCTGTATGACCCCAAGCAGGATAAATAAAAAGAAAAACACACCTAGACACATCAGAGCCAAACTGCAGAAAATCAATAAAGAGAGAAATCTCAAAGCAGCCTGAGGAAAAAAAAAATTAAGTACCAGGGGAGAAATGTGACTTCTGATTGGAGAGAGCTATAGCTACAATCTCCCTCACCACCATTTGTACTATGTTTGTAACTCAAATGGCCCCAACTATTTGAGTTTCCCTGATGAGGCTAATGGGACTGCCTCAGAATGAGGTCAGAGAAAAATATAACAAGGGCCACCAGATGCTACTTACAGATTCTCCTCTGTGCAGAAAGGAAAGTGTGTTTACAATAGATTGACATATTTTAGGCTCTCAGGAACAAAGTGGAATCCTTGCATAAAATGGGCTAGAGCCAGAGGAAACTCTGGATGTCAAGAGTGGAAGTGAAGCCCACAGACAGCAGCTGAGCCATCCAAGAGGGCTGTGCTTCAATCATGAAGCTGTAAGCGCTGCCACCTCTGCATGAGGTCTTTCTTTCAGTCTTCTCATCAGCCAAGAAACTGGTGCCCATCTCTCTCATTCTCAGCAGGTGTAGATTCATGCATTAGGTGCAATTCATGTATTGTGCATAAAATTGAATAAAATATCCGCCAAGTTTCTTTCCATTTTTTAAATTCTGTGAATCTCCTTTATGGTAGAAAAATGTTTGTAAAATGATTGCGCCTCTCTAAGAGTTAAACACTACACCGTGCACACCCCTCTGCTGGTTTACTTTTATTCCCTCATTCATTTATTCATTCATTCATTCAACAAAATTATGTATTGTGAGCTTAGTATATGCCAGACATTTGTCTCTCTCTCCGTGGTCCGTATTCATTGGTGAGCAAAATGGAGGACAGGTTCTACATTGCACTCATTCTTGCACTCCTGTGTTGCTGTATGTGGTTGAGAAAGAAGAGAAGAAGAAAGAAGGGAAGGGAAGAGAAGGGGAGGGAAGGAAAGAAGAGGAAAGGAAAGAAAGGTTTCCCTCTAACAATTTACTTTCTGAAACGGGCTGAGCATGTCTCACTCTCCTGCCTCACTTCAAAATTTTTCCTTCTTAGCTGGTTCTTGAGCCAATGGGAAATTGCTTACGGTTGTTGCCTCAGCAACCAGCAACCTTTATGCTTTACTTCTGAATTAGAACTCATCGTAACAAAAATCTCCACTTATCTGAAATGAATTTCTACATGGCCTTGCTTCCTTTACTAAAAAAAAAAGATTAACTAAAAAATGTAAGTAGAAAACAGTATTTCAAATAAATTTTAAGTGTCTGTTTATTAGTGTTCTTTTGGGATGGGGAGGAGATTGGAGTATTTTTCACAGAGACTAGAGCAGGCACAAGAAAAAAATGGGATTGACTTTCAGATTTTTTTCCTTTTCCAGAAGCTATGAACACTGCATTGAGAATCAAAGAAATAAATCACATGATGTCCCATCTGGGGCCAGTGCCTTAGGAGCCTCTCCGGGCCCCAGGCTGGCTCATTGCAATGCGCATTCCTGCATAGGTTCCCAAACACAGGTATCTTTGTTGCGGAAACCATGAGGAAGTTTCTTAAAGAGGTGTGCCTTGGGTTGGAGCTCAATAAATATGTAAGTGAATGTGAGAGAGAAGAATGTACCTAGAAGTTTTCCTCCTCAAAACACTATTCAGTACAATTGCACAGCAAGAACTCCAAAATGCAGCTCTAGGGCAAAATGTGTCCTATTTATACATGCATTTGATCAACACTCACTGTTGAGTTGTGTCTGCAATCTTCTATGAGAGTACATCTGTCCTAGATTCTGAGCCACCAGGGACTTGGTAGGCAGGCTCACTTGTCAGAGCCAGGGGCAGAAAGGGGCTTAGCTACACAGTAAGAGACTAGATCCCATCTCGTCCCATTATAGGACCATGAACTGTCATGTCTTTTATTATATGTCATCTCACTTAATCCTCATGACAAGTCTGTGGGATTGAGAAGATTATCCCTTAACTGAGGCTCAAAGATATTAGATAATTTGCTCAAGGTTACACAGTTAAGAAGTAACAAAGCCAAGATTTAAACCCAGGGCTGTCGGCGTGCAAAGCAGTTAACCTGGGCCCCCCTACCTTTCACTGTCCTCATTTGGTATTTTGCCTCCTTCCCCCAGGAGGTCAAATAGTAGAAACCACACCAGATTGGCTGGAGGCAGACAGCAACCAGAGAGGGTTTCCAGGACACAGAGCTTCAAACACCTGTCCCACTTTTGTCTTCTTCTGAACCTGGCTCTGAACTTCACACTTTGATTTTATATTTCCAGAAGGGCATGAACCCACACAAATACACACATTCCATAGCAGAGTCCAGCTGAGTTTTCATCAGTGCCACTAACAACGATTAGATGGTAATTGTTTAAATCCACGGAGCTTCCATTTGTTGAACTGTGGATGGAGTCTTAGCCCCTTGGGGAAGGAGGCATTTCTTCTTCTGTTCAATCTGTGAACCACTCCACAGTCATCTTGCCAAGTACAAATGGACCATCTTTTTTGAGGCAGGAACCCCAGATGTGCCCAGTCTAATGGGTAGGTTGGAGCTTCTGCCTCTTGCTTTAATTTGGATTTTTGGGTGCTTGCCTGTTTGAGGGGTTCTTTGCTCGTTTGTTGTATTTGGTTCTGGTTGAGGAGACACAGCCATGTTCAACTTTACAGAAACATGTTCGTCATAATCTCATTGAATTATCAGTGTTACCCTTTATGAGAAATAGGATAACAGCCCTTTCAGACCAGGTAAAACATGGGAGAGGTCTTTGGGCTTTATCGTTCTAGGAGAACCACACACTCCGAGCTGATAAGGCATTAGGGACACACATTTAGGTAGGAGCCCCTGCCTTACGCACACGTGCACATGCACACTTGCCTTTTGTTTGATTGTTCAAAGCAAAATCTCCACTCCTTCCCACCTGCTCTACTATCTATTCCTCAAAGGAACCTCAAAGAATATATATTTGAATGTGAAGAGGAATCAATATTATTTTGATAAGTTTGAGTGGAATCAAGGCAGGATTCAAAATAATTGGCCTGGCTAGAGATCTGCCACTTCTGACACTGCGGAGGACTTTTGGGCGAACTGAGTCTTGACAGGTTTCAAGCTACTTGCCCTGCTGTTCTCTGCAAAAACTCAGCTTCTGCTGCCTCAGTTCAGTTTTTAATTCACATTGCATTCATTCTTTCACCCCAGGACATTTCCCTTATACACCCAAATGGCTTATTTTCTCTCTGTAGACCTCTCATCCTTGGGACCAGATAGAAATATCTAGAGAGAAGATTCCAGGAAGGTCCCCAGATAGGCTCTTCCCCAGGACAACAATGGTGTTCATGTCACTGCCTGCTCATCTTGGGCCCACTGGAGTGCCTCCCACCCCAGCTGTGGAGTGGAAGTCCGCCAGAGAAGCAAGAGGGGACTTACAGTGGATTTTGAAGTCCTTGTACTGTCTGTCTTCAATCGCTACCACGTACAAAGCTGCCCGGTCTGGAAACATAAGCCCTCCAGGTTTCTGTTGATGAATTGTGGGGAAATGGGTCTCGTAATCTATTCACCTGACAAAGACACCACATTTTAAACTGCACATAGAGTCACCAGACAAGCACCCCATTGTCAGCATCTCTCATGCAGTGGACTGTCACCTTGTCTGGGGTCAGGGCTAGGACAGCAGTGCTCAATTTTTGTTTTGGAGCAAGGAGAACTTAAGGGACCCAGGTGGAGTCAATAGGACCAATGAAAGCAGGTGAAGGTAAATCCAATGAGGAACAGTGAGGGATGTTATGACTTTTCCCTGGAGAAGCCCAGATGAATAGCACACCTGGCTCTGGCAGCCATGCAAGTCCTACTTGTTGACCAAAATGGCCTTTTAACTTGACAAGAGAGAATGGATGCCTATTATTGCAAAAGAGGCTGAGGTGAGACCCACAGAAGTCCACTCTAATGGTTATACATGTTGGACCCAGGGTGACCATTCCGTTCCCTGATGCAGGTCTGCTCTCAAGAGAGGGGCCTGGGGCAGTGACCTCCTAGCCTCAGTCCTCTCTGAAGTCCTCGTATTCCTCCTAGGCTGCAGGCCTTGGGTAGAGCAGCAGGACAGCTGGCCGACCAGCGATGGGACAGCATGCAGGACACTTACCAGCCACTTGTCCCTGGCAAAGATCACCGTGTTGAGCATGGACTCATAGAACAGACAGTAGCCCATCCACTCGCTGATGATGATGTCCACCTTCTCCACAGGCAGCTCCACCTCTTCCACTTTACCCTTAAATATGGTGATGACTGGAAAATAAGAACCCCAGGGCCATGCTTTGCAGGGACCCCACCCGGGAACCACCTCAGTTCAAGGCCAGATCTCCAGGTTTCAGCCCTTTTCCGATTCTACTTTTAGGATGTGACATAGCCCACCCTTCACCAAGCTAGTTTATACCAAATAACTGAAAACTACCTGCATGTTTCCCCATAAAAGAAACTGAGTCATGACTATGTGCCTGGTATAGCGCTAAGCCCATTATATTCACGTTATCACATGATCCTTCCAACAACCCTATGAGGTAAGTGGATTACAGTTGACCCATGAACAACATGGGTTTGAACTGCAAAGGTTCACTAATATACAGATTCTTTTTAATTTAGACCAAGTGTGGCCGCCTCCCCTTCCACCTCACCAGCCTTGTCATCCTCTGCCACCCCTGAGACAGCAAGGCCAGCCCTTCCTCTCCCTCCTCCTCAGCCTATTCCATGTGAAGGCAGTGAGGACAGAGACCCTCATGCTGACCCATTTCCACTCAATGAGTAGTGAATATATTTCCTCTTTCTTAGGATTTTCTAAACAGTTTTCTTTTCTCTGGCTCACTTTACAGTAAGAATATAGTATATAATACATATACAAAATATGTGTTAATTGACCATGTTATCAGCAAGAGCGCTGGTCAGCAGTAGGCTGACGGTAGCTAAGTTTTGTGGTAGTCAGAAATTATGCTTGGATTTTCACCTGTGTGGGGGATTGGCATCCCTCACCCCTGCATTGTTCGGGGTCAACTGTTAACTTTTGTTTACAACTAAGGAAACCGAGGCGTAGAGAGGTTGAGTAGCAGCAGTGGAAACAGAGCCCAAATCTGATATGACATGATTCTAAAACTCTTCTCAAGGGCCCCACCCTATGTTAGGTAACCATGACAGTTCAGACCCAAAGAAAGCATAGATGCTTCTTCTACTGGCTTTGCATCTGTTCACAGCCAGGCTCAGTACCAAATGGGGGCCCTTCTAGTGTTTGTGAGGGAGGCAATTGATGTTTTGGAGAGAGCATGGGTTCTGCGGTCAGGGAAACCTAGATTTAAGCGCCAGATCTTCTCACTATTAGCTGTATGACTTTAGACAAGTTACTTGACCTAACTAAACTCCAATTCCCAAGTGAACAGCCAGGAAAAGCAATATCTATTTAGAGGGTGATTGTATTGATCAAATGAAATGACACATGTGAAGGGCCAGTCCCATAGTTGAAGCTCAACAGAAGGTAGAAATCATCTGATGTATTCCTGCTTGTTGATCCACAGATGGAGAGGGAAAGGGGACAGGGCCAGGGTCAAAACCCCTGTCCCCAGTGGCTTCTGCTTATGAGTCGCCTCCAAGACCTGTGGTTTCCTCTATGGCAGGAGACGCTTCTTAGTTGAGTTTTTGATCAACTGACACAGACATACACATAATGCTGGAGTTCCTTTTTGTACCTGTTGCTGTAAAGATGTGAGCAAGCTAGTTTAGATACCACTGTTAAATTGGCAGGCTGAGGTACTGGTTGGCTGGTTCTTTCCGAACATTTCCTTGGAAAGGTTAAGTATATTCATCCTCTGAAACTCTCATTCTGTAACATCCTCTGAAGAAAATCACACAATGCCTGAGCTTGCTGGGAAAAATGAACAACGGCCTGTACTTACGAGTAAAAATCAAAAGAACTGTGCCTGCCTAGAATCTGAGTTTCATGAAAATTAATTTGGACTGGAGGCTCCTGGATGGCAAAGGACACACCATTTGCTGGCTTCATTTAGCGTCTTCACAGTGAATAATGCGGGCAATGGAGTGTCCATTAGCAGCTTCTAATGACAGTTTATTCTCCACTATGTGGTATTTAATCAAGTTTTAATTGGATGCAGCCTCTTTTACAAGGAGTAAGACATTTTGTACACATGCACTGACCCGGATCACTCTACAGTGAGGCTCAGGCTTGTGTGCCCTCCTGATTGGTTACTGCTCATCAGCCCCTACCACTAATAAATGCAAGCGGGAAGAGCTAGTCTCCAAAAGGGCTGGGGGCGGGGGAGGCAGGTGTTAAAGTTTCTCTGGGCCTCAGAGGCCCCAGGGGAGGAACTGAACTGAGAGCAGGACCAATGATTGCATTTTTAAAAGTCCTTTACTTTGCCCTCCTCTGAATGCACTAAGAACATTCAGAGGAGGGCAAAGTAAAGGACTTTTAAAAATGCAAACATTGTGCCTAATTTATTCCTTATTTTGAAAAAGAACTGACAAATACATGCATGACGCACCTGCCTAATTATTTGCATGCAAAGCCTGGCTTGTTTTAGTGTTGTAAACTTAAAAATTGTCTTTAATGGCCTCCTTAATGTTTTTTTCTTTTCCATGTTTCTCGAAGGTTCTTCCCTAATGTCTGCCTGTTGTCTGTGTGGCTATGGGTCAGTTCCTCTTCCTGCATTTATATCATGACCTCCCTGAAGCCCCAGAAGATGTTTTCTCCTGCCTCTGGGGCCTCATGGCCTCCACTCTGAGTGTTTAGTACAAGGCTCCACCCATGACGATTTTTATGGCAAGGACTCTATTAGGAGCCGCAGGAAACAAACAGTAATCCATTGTCAAGTCTAACATGCAAGTATGTATGAAATAGTCCTCGGGTGTCCCCCAGAGAGAGTGACCGCTGCTCATCTTCTCTGTGTTAGCCCTCCTATCCATTAGCTGCTGTATCCTCATCAATACGGATTACAGAGATGACTGATAGATGGGTAGATGATATAGAAGATAGAGAGATGGATACAATGGGTCACGGAACAGCAAAATTAGTCTCTGCTTGCAAAAAGGGAGACAGAATCAGTTAACCCTATAAAATGCTCAACGGTCTGGGCTTCTGTTCTCTTAACATTACCCTTCTACATCTATTCAAGTGCAAATATTTCTCAGTGTGGACATGGCCACACGGTTGGCTAGATGAGAAGATGAGCCCTTTGTCAAAAAAAAAAAAAGGACAATCTCCCTCAATCCAGCGCTGGACTGGCTTTCAGACCCCGTTTATCTCCTTTCTCTGGTGCTTCTGCGCTCAGACTGTGCAACTTTATGCTGAAATCCTGAAAGGCAGCAACTTATGCTTTTGTTCCAGCAGACAGCTAATCTCAATCAAATATCTCCTCTCTTTTGGGGCCTCAGTTTCCTTATTAGGAAAATATAAAAGAAGGGAGGTTGAATCTGAAATTGTTTCCAGTGCTAGAGAGCTGTGGTTCTTCTAATATGTACTGAGTACTTGCTATGCGTAAGGCATTCTGCAGGCTTCACTGGTGGAGACAGCAGGCACCAACGGTGCCGGCCAGTTCCAGTTTGACTGTCATTAGCAACACTTTCTGGGTCTATTTATTTTTAAGAGGTCACAGTGTTTCTGCGCATCCAAATACAACTGTCCAGCTGAATCACCATGGATATTCTTCCTGTAGTCTGTAGTCACCACCAGCAACCACTTAAACTTCCAGATTCAATTTCCCAGCCTACAAAATGCTACCTCTCCTGGTGGGGCTTATGCCAACTCACAGGGAAGCTATTGGCCAACATAGGGCATTAGGCTAGGTCAAGGAACTGTATGGGCACACACGGCAGCAGTCATCTCTTCTCCTCCATGCAAAGGATTTTCAAGGTGGTCTAAACTATTGATACGAAGACTCTGAGCAGCCATGAGTTACAGAGCTCCATGCCCGATCTAGGCCCCACATCACTAAAACTGCATCAGCTCAAGGTTGCATTGAGGTCACTGTCCAGATACATGTTTTTATTCCATAAAGATGATGGAAAGTTTGTTCAACAAACTGTGACAGGGCCCTGGCTGGGAAATTTTAGAATGATTAATCATAACTAAATGCATAGCAGGGAGCAATAGACTCTAAATTGGGAAAATTTCCCATGTAGCTTCAAGTTTGCAAATTAGACATCCAGATTTTTAAAGACGGTTTTGAGTGGAATTTTTTTTCTTTTTGGTTTGAGTGGTTCTCACAGAAATCTAGTCATTCTCATTAATGGTCATTTTTGTGTTCAAACAAATCAGGCCAGCCCAACCTCATTTGAGCCTCCAGAGCATCCATCAGAGTCAGCTGACCCCCTTAGCATCTGAAGTTAGTGATCATTTTTAGGGTTCTCGCTGTTTTGGAAGCAGATCCTGTCCCACAGAAGAGTAGACATGAGGGTCACGTGTATGGGAACAGGGAGCACATGATGAGCCTGTGAAATCCCCTGAGCCCCCACCAGCCTGACTGCAGCAAAGCCCCCCATTTGCCCTCCCCACTCCCTTGGTCCTTGCTCACACACCTATTTTGGTGGCACCCACGCTGGCTGCCTCGCACCTGCAGAGGGCCTGGCTCACCTCCAGCGTGTTCCTTCTTTCTCTTCATTGTCTATTTTAGCTTCCTATTTCCAGGATCTAGCTGAGCACTTGACTTCTCACAAACATTCAAAATCATTACTGAATGAAATGGATGAATGAATGAGCAATTTCAAAGAAAAAAAAGGGCATCAGTTAAGAGACAAAAGATATTCAAACTAGTCTTAATTGTGACAGTAAAAAATTACTAGCATTTGAATAGCAGCTTCCAGAGTGCTTTTCCGTATGTTAGTTTAGTGATTCTCCTCGGAACTTGTGTGTTTGGTTCTATTATTCTTTTTGCCTAAGGAGAGAACTGGCGTTTAGAGAAGTCAAGCTGTGGAGGCAGGACCTAGGCCTGTTGTGCATGTTGGTGCCTCCCCGTGGTTCCTTTCCTCCCCCAGCGAATGGGTGCACATCTGACCTCCCTACCACCTGGGATTCTTGTGGACTTGGAGCAACTGCGTGGGATGTTGCGAGAAAAGAAAGCAGAGAAGGTAAAGGGCTGACCTCCCCTTCTCCTGCAGCTGGTCAGGTTGGTTGGCAGGTTGAAAGGAGATCCAGCCATGGAGAGCAGCCAGGGTGGGTCAAGATCCCATCCATCTCCCTTGATGTCAGCCCCTGCCTTGCCCTGCCGCCCTCTCCTCCTCTGGAACCT